TTAGAGAGAGCAGTTACAAACAGTTGTCAGATCACATATCCAATGAAAGATATTATGAAAGGCTACTGGATGCTCTTTTTAAAAAAAATAAAGCTTGTGCATTTGTCTTTCTCACTCTCATTGTCATTAAACCTTGTGTCATGGCAGTTTTTCACTCAGGACTTTTGAACTTGGACCTCGATGATGCCTGAGATGCACCTTAATGTCACTAGAAGCAGCAATGTTGTTCACTGCTGGAAGCAATAAAGCAGGGTTGGATGCTGCTCACAGCATGTTCAGCATCCCTCTTCGTGGCATCTTGCCTGATACCAAAAGGGGTGGTTCTGTCTTCCCTCTCTCTCAGCAGGTCCATGTGGCATGCTCCAGCATTCATCCAGGCCTATGGCAGTGCTGGGGCTTGCTATGCTGCTGCCTGGCTGTGGCAGCGTTCATGGGTAGGCTTTCCAGTGCTGATTGCATTTAGAGAAGGGGCCACATGAAAGCACTGCTCCTGGTTCTTACCTCTGTAAATCTGTCCTAATGGGAAGGACTTCTTAAGAGCACATCCTTTCTCCTGATTTTTTTTTTTGTTTGTTTGTTTGTTCTTTTAGAAAAGAAAATGGTGACAATCTTTTGCTCTCACTGCTTTTCCCAACAGGAAGTTCATGGGGTCCCCGTCTGCGTTTGGATTTTGATGTTAGCAGTTATGTTTTCAGTGATGACTGTGACTAGAAAAATGTGTGTCTGTATGTCATCAGACATGCGTGTGTTAGAACAAAATTTAAGCTCATCCTAGTAATTCGAATGAACAACCCTTGAGTTGATTCATAGATTTCTGTATAGATACTGGTAAAGTTCTTTATTAAGACTGAGTCAAAGGGTCAGGGTGTGGAAAATTAAAACGAAGAATCAGTTAAGCCTAGCGAATCTCTTCATGGCCAAACCAACTGAAGTCCTGGATAGTGTGTCCCCATGGGGCAGAGAAAGAGACATGGGCTTCAAAGACTTAGTTCTGCAAAATGTGTAATGAACTATTGTTTGTTAGGAAAAGTGAGGACTCACTTTGGCTTCAATACAACAAAAGATAAAAAATTAAAACCTCTTAGTTGTCTTGTTCTCCATCTGTTCCTGTTACTTTTTTTCAGTAACTTTTGTTTCTTATATTGTTCATATGTCTCTTCCTTCATTCTCTTTCCTAAATGCTGTTACTATCTGTCTTTTCACTCAACTTCATCCCCTTGAATCTGCTTGAAACTTGATCAGGGTTTCAGCACTGAAGTTGGCGCCGGACTGATTGCAAACAATAACACTGGCCTGTTGCTCTCTACTCATCTGCAGACAGATTGTTTAAAATTAAGATCCTGTTCCCACTCAACTTCTCCATTTGGGGTTTTCCCCAAAGCTTCCCAGAAGCAGATGGTGCTTCCTGGAGCTGTGCTTACAGAGCATTACACTTCATGCAGTGCTGTCTCCTCCTGACAAAACCAGGCGGATGTGTCCTTCCCTCAGAGCTGCCGGGTTCAAAGAAAGCCCATGTACAAGCTGTTGTGCTGTTCTGATGTCAGCCTGGTCCAAGGTGGTGTACAGTCTACAGTTTGACCAGGAAGCACTTTGAGGACAGGTTCATGGCAAGGATGAAAGGATACCTTCTGGTATAAAAAGCTTGACTGTAGAAGTGAGCTTAGGCTGCGCTTAGAAATGCATCTTGGATCAATTGATTTGATCCCGTAGAGAAGCAACACGCCTGCAAGTTCATGCCTTTCCTTTTCCCACTGACTTCATGATGCAATGACTAGTCTGTTCCAGAGCTTCAAGGAAGATTCAGGAGAACATGCAGGAGGTTGAGATACCTCCTGGAAGGGCAAATGGAAATTGAAATAGGTTAGAAATGCTCTGGGAGCAAGCTTAGCTAAAGGGAAAAGGCTGAAGAGGGAAAAGGCTAATATGTTACATTTACTACAAGATAGAAGCTTTCTTTGGAAAATTAGTATTTTAAATAACAAGAGACTTAAAAATTATTGCTTTTATAGAAAATAAGGTACTTTATTTTAGGGGATGAAGAAAAAAAGCCAAGAGAGCAGAAAGCAAGGGGAGGGGGCAGAGAAGGAAAAAGAAAGAGTGGGGGAAGAGATGGAGTCACTGGCACTGCTGCAAGGGCAGCACTTTTTTGGCTGGCAAGGGACACTGATGCACAGTCAGTGGAGATGAAGGCTGCCAAGAATCCTGTGTGCATGATTAAGTTCTGCCTACAAAATCATTAGGGATTATGGTCACTTAAATTATTACAAACCCAAATATAAATGTTTATTTTCTTAAAATGGATTTTGTTTCAGTTTGAGGGTTCTGTTTAAATGTGACATGCCTGTGCAGCCAGTAGCATGAGCTGATGTGACTGAGCCAGTGCTGTTTCCTCCATGAGCTGACGCTTCACTTCCTGCAGCAAGTGGGTTCACTTGTGCCTGCCAAGGCTGCCATGGAGGGATAAACAGGGTTGGATCTGGGTTTTCCATATGTCCTTATGTGTTTCCTGCTGCCCATGTATTTTTTTTGTCACATCAATAACCACTTTTGTGAAAGGTAAAAAATATTCTGTATCATCGATTAAAAACTGTGAGAAACATCCCTGGTAACCTTGTGTTGCTCCAGATGGTAAACTCTGCAGTCCCTTCATCATTTCAGTAAGGCAAAATACTTTTCACTGGCTTGCCTTTTATCCTAACACTTCTAAAACATTTTTATACATGATCTTTTTCAAAGGTACTCTAGGGGATTTCCACTCCCTTGCTGTTTTAAAATGCTCATACTGTTGTGTTAACCACAAAGCTTACGCTGGTGCACTCTGTCTCTCTTTCTCTCTCTCTCTCTCATTTTCTCCCCATTGAGGACCAGCTACCATTTCCAGGTAAGGCTTCACCAGAACGTGTCTTGTTAATGCTGGCAGGATCTTACCATTGCTAGAATTATTTCTCATTTCTGAAGGGCTCTTCAGGGGTACACTGTGGCACACAGAGGTGTGAGTGGCACAGGGCTGCAGACCCCAAAACATCTCAGAAACTGTGTTCACCCCTGAACCGGCAAAGTGGTGCCACAGTGTCATAGGGGTGAGTGGCAGAGCCTTGTTACTGAAATTTCTGTTGGTGCTTGGGAACGTGCAAGCCAGGGATTGCTACAGAAGTGATGGGAACAAAGTTATTTTCCAGCTATGAGTGTGATTATTTTAAGGCAAAAGTTCTCTGTATTACTGTAACAATATTGTGTTGATTAGACATAGAGAGATAATGCAAAATTAATTCATTATTTTTAGAACATCCAGGGAAAACAGTAGATGTAGCAAATAAATAAACTGGTTGTAAAATCAGAGCTGCTTCAGCACCAGACAGACTTCATTGGTTGTAAGAGGGTATTTTTAAATTTTTTTTTTAATGCTATCTGTGTTGTAATCTGTGTCTTAAAAACTTGCTGATGTCTAATCTTACGGGAATTCATTGTAATGCTTGACTGTACCTCTACGCAAAGGAAACCCTACTGTCTTATTCTGCTTAGTGAAAATTTGCCTATGGAGATTAGCAAACTGATGCTTGCTTAGTAAGATTTTACTGTGCCTTGACAATAAGGTAATACTGGAATTTGGTTAGGATAGTATTGTCTATATCCAAAAGAAAACGTTTGTTCTGCTGTCCTTTGCAGCGACATCCCCTGTAGGTGCTCAGGCACATATCCAATAGGAAATTGTTGCTATTAGAAATATTCTGTCCTGGGTACCAGCTGGTCACTGCACTGCAGTTTTGAAGTGATTAGGACAACAGGAGAGCAGCTCCTGAGGCTGACTTAGTGCCAGGTGAAGTGGGAGTAAGCCCTGAGTATCAGCAGTGGGTCTGTGTTGGTGCAGTAGGGGATCCTTTCCCTCTGCAGCCTCTGTGCTGGGGTAACACACGTGATGCAGCTGGGGTTCTTCTCCCCCATGGGGACTCTGCAAGTGTGTTTTGTTGTCAGCAGTCAAAATGTTGTATCTCTTCTGGGTTGGAAGGGACACTCAGTGATGTCAGATGTCATAATCTGCTGTTTTCACATGACTCCATATAATTTGCTATATCTTAAATATATATCTACAACTGTATAGATATTTTTAGCCATTCTTTAGCAGACTCTGTTACCTCTTCCACTCTCTATGTTAAGAGTTGGGGCATATATTTCTTGTCCCCAAAATACAGTGTTTTTGTAGAAGGCATTATAGTAAATAGTAAATCATACAACTTTGTTATTTTAATTAAAAAATATGGAGGTAGCTAATCTACCTAGCTTATAAGGCAGCTTGGACAGGGTCATTTTAATGCAAGGTATGTTCCCCTCCATCATGTTTCTGCCTGTCAGCTCCCAGTGAAGTGACTTGATCTTAGACCTCTAAATTTGACAAATTTTTCCCACTGTGACTAAGACAGGCTTACAGTTCTGATGTACCATATAAGGTACATAATTTGAGAGAGAGGGACAGGGCATCTTCTAAGACTTGTCCCTGCCAGGTACCTTAGGGCAAAGCAATAGAGCTGAAGTAGAGCTATAGGAACACAGGTGTATAACTTTTTTTCTATTCCCTGTTGTATGTATTTCATGGAAGCGTGGTGAGTGAAGAAGTAATCACGGTGCTTTTTATTGAGCAATACCCCAATCCTGGAGAGTTGCTGAACATTACCTTCCCCTCATGCAGTGAACGTAGCAGAAGCCATGCTCTCAGCCCCCATTTGCTGGGCAGCAGAACCAAGGATCCTGTCATCTAGTCCATGCATGGTGACCAAATCTCTGAGAACAACACAGATATTTGCCCTTCTCGGTCTAAAAGGCATGGTGCCTCAGGTCTGCTGTCCTGGAAGTTTTGGTGCTGCAGCCTGCTGTAATGGTGCACTCATAGCTCATATGTGCTGATCTTTTAGGGGGGTTGGCTTCATGTGAGAGGAAACAGGAGAAAAATACTCTCTTTAAAAAGAGCACCCACGTTATAGGAAATGTTTAATCTATGTGGAGAAAGTATATTTTTGTGACTAAAAGAAGTTAATCTGTCCACAATAGTTCAATGGGACATCAGGTTTGTATATGGCCTTTGTCCATCCTGACTACTGGTGCCATAGATAGGCAGCAGCACTGCTGGAGGGGAGCTGTTTGAACATGGCTTTAAAATGTTAATGCCATTTTATATCCTAGTAAGTCATGCCCATACTGATTTTTCTCCTTATTATTATGTTGTACTCATGTCTTGCTCAGTTTCTGAACAGTTAGAAATACTAAGTGGGGTGTATTTTAATGGAAAATGTTTGGGCTCAGTTTGGTGTGGTGGTAGTTAAAATAGGATAGCCCACATTTAATAAAGTTTATTTTTGTTATGAAAATTCTCCTCCTTGGATTACTTCCAGTGAAGTTAAAGCATCTGTGTATAAAGAGTTGTTCCAGAAGCATTTTGCTTGCACAGCTATTGGTGCAGGCAGGGCTGGGATGCTGAAGTGGTAGGAAGGTGCAGCTGGGAGCTCTTTGTGCTGTGCTGCCGTTGAGCTCCCACTCACTGGTAGCTGTTTATAGGACTTGGGCTTAGCTTTTAGTGAGTCATACTACTTTTTTTTATGTGTGGCCAGAATTAATTCTATTTATTTCAGTATATGGAAATCCAGGGGTTTAATGTGTAGATTTTCAGTCTCCATAAACTGAGGGGGTTTCTGTGTGTGTGCTGTTGCAGTGGAGGTGCAGTGAAAATCCCTTTACTGCATGCACTGTGTGTCTGCCACAAGAGCATCATCATACAGCATAAACCCGCCTCTCTCTGCTATTTTAAAACAGCATTATGGTTCACACGTGTGCTGAAAAATCTGAGAGTACACAAAGACAGGACACCTTCCCCTTGCTGTTAGCTGTGAGCAGGCAGAAGTGAAAGCGTCTCTCATCCCCTACGTGCACTGGCCAGGCATTAGCGTAAGCAGGAAATTGATTCAGATAACCCTGGCGTGCTCTCACTGTCACCAAAAAGCACTTTTTCCCCTGACGTTTTCCCTTTGGTTTCAGTACAAAGAGCCCAGGTGCTGGAAGCCAGAAGTGGAAGAAGAGCTTCTGTGACCCGCCCGAGTCACTGGTGAGCACTGGCATGGGGAATTACTTGCTGCCTGTGATGGTTTGGATCACATCCCACCGAGCACTGGCTGGCACTAGGTCTGGCACAGGGCTGCTGTTTCTCAGCTCCTCTCCCCAGCTGATTCACACAGGCACCTCTCCAGCTTGGGCAAAGCATTGCCATCCACAGGCTCTCTCCTGGGGCAGCCCATTTCCTCCAGCAAAACAGCTGCAAACCCTGCAGCAAACCTTCTGCAAGGCTGTCAGCAGTGGCAAACATCCCTGATCTTCTGGGCACCCAGAGGTTTCCATTCTGCACTCTGAGCAGGCAGGCTCGCCTTTCACCTGAAGTGCTCTTTCCTGTGCCCTGAGCTGCCCTTAGCTGTGCAGTGCAGTCCTGAGTAAGGCTGAGGTGGAGGAGGTTCTTTCACAGAGGGTCTCCATTTTTGGGGTTGGGTGCATTGTGAAAGTATTTAAGGAGATAAAGGCTCTCATTTCAACAAGAGAATTGGAAGGCGTTGTACTACAGCAGAGTGTTCCTTGCAGAAAGAGATGGGAATGACTTTGGTTGATTTAATGAACAGTGAGAGCTCTGAAGGAGTTTCTAGATGGGATTTTGGGCTGGTGACTATGCTTCTTCTTAGTGTGTCCCATAACTTTTTTGCCTAAAGCATCTGTTCACCGCAGCTGGAAGAAATTCTGGAGTTAAGGAAGACCCTTAACAGCAAAATGGATAAAATATTGATTTTTTTTTTTTATATGTGTTTTTAGACTGTGTGGCATTAGCTTGCTAAACCATGCCATCAGATGATGTAAGTAATGGAGTGTAATAGGACTCAGGAAAGTGGATGCCATGTAAATGGGAGAGAGCACTAATAAGAAAAAGGAAGGAAAATTGTTTCAGGGTTCTCACCTGCTGACAAGAGAATGAGTTCTTAGGCAGTTCATCCTGTAGGTAATCTGTGCTGTGGAAATTGATGGTGACAGCTCTCCATCTGCCTCTGAAGCAGCAGGCATGCTCTGCTGCTGGCATCTGCTACAGAGGCAGCCCAGGCATGAGGGTGGTAATCCCTCAGGCTGCATTTTGGCATTTCTGGTTGACATGAGGAAATTAGAATTGGTCCTTATTAAGTGTCAGGGAACTAGGAACCCCATTTTCAGAGAAGAAAAGGTCAGCTGTTTAAAAATGAAAGGACCAAATGGGCAACCATCTCTGGTTTGAAGCCAGGAGGCTGTTCATGTGGAGGGACCAAACAGGGTAATTTGCAAACTCCAGTTGGAATAATAAGTCTTTATGCCTGAAATATGATTAAGGTTCATATTCCTGAGGGCTGTCGATGTTGGGTGATCAGTTGTGCTGGAGTGTGTCAGACATTCAGCCTGGTGGATAACAGGGAGACCCTCACAAGCTGGGAAGGTAAATACAGAGTACAACCATGAACAAGGGTGCTGAGTTACAGGAGCACTCAAATGTTTGCTGTGGAATACATTTTAGTTGTTTAAGTGCTTTGGCTTGTTTTTTGTTCAGGTACACTAACTGTCCACAGGAATTCCTTGCCCAGTGTGGGTTGTTAAAATAGAAAGGAAAATGGATGTTGCTTTCTGAAGCTTGATGTGGTCTGTGGCAATGCTGCACTGTGCATAGCACAGCATTAGTCACTGTTTTCATGGGCCAGGAACACACTGCAGCAGAGAGGCAGGGCAGTGTGTCTGTACTTGCCATATTGTTTCATGCCAGCCAAAAGGTTGGTGGTGTGTTGGCCCTGCTTCCCTCCGAAAGCAGCAGATACCCTCAGTGACCTTACAGCAGCTGAGTGAGAGCTCTCAGAGAGGTGCTGAAGCCAGTAAGAATGACTTGAGTGTCTGACAGGGTGGGTGGTGCACAGAGGAGAGATAGCATCTTGTGGCACCGCTATAAAATTGAGCACTTCTCCTGTGAAACAATCTGAGAGCTCTGGTGTTGTGCTTTTGTATACATCCTGTAAGGAAAACGTCTTCTGAGTGCAAAGCTACAAGAAATGCAAACCAGAGTGGCTCTAGGTCTTGAGCTACTTGCAAAAAAAACTACTGTGAGATTAAGGGACTGGTGACAAAGGTCTCGAGGTTTGTGTCTTAAGGCTGGAAAAAAATGTTGACAGTTTTTCCTACTGGGAAATTGCATTCCTGTGCCACGTAAGAACATCAGTAGGTTGAAAGAAAAACTTACGTCACACCTCTGATTGCAATCTTGCTTTTCTTTTTTTTCCACCACTTCTTGCAGACAGGATTAATATAGCCAAGGACTTGCACATAATGTAATAAAACTTGAAAAAGTAGGAGTTTACTGCTATAAATGAGGGATCCACAGAAAAAAGAAAGATGTCAAGTTAAGAGGCTTCAACTCCTGCAACACCTAAACTGAAGGTAAAATCCCCTTGCTGCCTATTTTTTGTATGCTCCTTGCTGTGAACCACAAAGCCACCTCGTGCCTGAAGCAGTGCAATGAACTCGTGAAGTCATGTGGGTGGGCTCTACCTTAAGTATAGACTTTCCTGGTGAACATTAGGGCAAAGACTAGGCCTCTGCTTTCCCCAACCGTGTCTGACTACTGACTCTTGTAGTTTTTTCCAGACTAAGAACTGCTGCAAGAAAATATTAAAAAAAAAACCCCAAACATAAAGGTCTCTGTTTACAGATTGTGATACTCTTTTCCAAAGGAGTGTGCTTTGATGCTTGTCACGTAATTATCATTTTGCAGTTCTGTGAGCATTTTGTTGTTCTTCCATAGCTGGTGCTGTGTTTCCCTCTGGAATCTGTCTCACCCCTCTGCAGATGCCAGCCCTCCCTCGAGCGGCACCCTGCTGCAAGCGGTAGCTGATGCAGCGTGGCTGCCAGTGAGTATTTGAAGAGATTCCCCCTGTGTCTGGTTCCCAGTGCAGCTCCCATGGCCTGTGACGAACCCACTGCTCTCTCGGGCATCTTCACACGCCAGAACTCTGCCAGCACCACCTCTCTGGACTTTGAGCCTGACGCCGACTACAAGTTTGTTGAAACCTTAGAGGATCGGTACAAGTGCGCCTACTGCCACCTCGTCCTTCACAACCCCCACCAGACAGGATGTGGGCACCGATTTTGCCAGCAGTGCATTCTTTCTTTGAGGTGAGTGCAAACTCCTCCTGTGTTCGCAAACTCCCCATATTCCCTTTCCTAAAAAAAAATTCAACATCTTCTATGAATCAGCAGTGAGTGCCATAATGGTATTACTGCTCCAGTAAGACGCTGAAGGAGTCAATGGAAAGACTCTGATGAACTCAATGACTGCATGCTCAGTGTTTTAAAGGTGTCCTTAAAGACCATACCCAGTGCTGGTGAACCACAGGGAAGTCAACATTAAGAAATTGTTATGTAAGCTGGAGCACTACTGTGTGAGATGCTGTTTCAGTCTGTCTGTCTGGCATGGTGCTCTGCAGAGAATTTGGTTTCGGTGATGTCTCACAGTATTGGCACTGGTGGTTAGATTAAGCGGTGTTCACTTTCTTCTGTAAAATTTCTTTGGAAATTTTTTTTTAGTGGAGTTATAAAATTGTTGTTAGTGTTATCTGATACTGCAGTCAGATCACAAGGCTGCTGGCATCTGCTTGGGAATTATCTGCTACAAATGACTCTACCCCACAGACCTGTCTGGGAATACATTATGTACTGTTTGCTGTTCCTGAGGGCAGGATTTCTCCCGGCAAGGCTGCAGAGAAGCCTCTTTATGTGGATGGATGTCGCTAGTTACCTTTTGTGAATTTTAGATGCTTCATATTTGCTGCTTTCTCTCTGGGTTGCATCCCTTTTGTACTCTCAAAGCCTTTTAAGGCAGCAGCCATTAGATCTTTCAGTGGTGTAGCAAGGAGGGCACTGCTTCTGCTAGGCAAAGGCTAGGTTTAATACACAATGGGATTTTTTGAGATACAACATTTGAGAGCAGCAGATGGCCAGAGAGTGACAAAGTCCTCTTAATTTAAAACCATCTTATGGTTTTTACCATTTAACATTCATAGGACAAACTCTGTTTTCTGTTACACATTCACATTCAGATTAATGCCCTCGTAGAACTCTGGCCAGAATTTGGCTGTGTGGTTGCCAGATGAAAGTGGATTTGGAGCACTTTTTTGTTTTTATGGTATCTGGTATCATATGACTTATGTCAGAGTCAGATTATAGCATAGCCCAATTTCATAAAATAAATAAAATTTTCTGTGAGTTAATATGACTCTAATTATGCTCTAGGGAGTTAAATGCGGTACCCACCTGTCCTGTCGACAAAGAAACAATAAAAATGCACGAGGTAAGTGACTATAGCTTTACTTCAGCAGGCAACATCTGCATGGAAAAGGCAAGAGAGCTGAGAACAAGGTGGCTCTTAGTCCTCAGGGCAGAGCAGGATTTTGTCTCTGAAATTATGCTAAGGGAAATAGTGTACTCAGTGATGCTGTCCCGGAAAGGAAGTATGACTGTATACATAAAGATTTATTTTTATACCTCTCTGAAGTTATTTCATTTTAGTCTTCTCTATTTTTAGTAAAGTGTCAAAGAGTTTCACAAAGTTCTAAATCTTCCCTAGTGATCAGATTTTTTTTTTTAGTGGAGAGTTTATTGACTTACTTTTTAATGCCCCATCTTGCTGGGTTATCTTGTTTATTTAGTTGTCTTTGCTTTCACTTGGCTATAATTTGCTCCTTAAATATCTCCATTAGATCTCATTAACCCTGCAGACTTAATTTACTTTTGGGTGACTTTTAGAAGAAAAGATAAATTCATCTGTTTTATTTTACAAATTACTGTTGGTTTTGGTTGTTTTGTTTGGGTTTTATTTGTTTGTTTGTTTTGTTTTCTGGTTGGAGGGTGTTCTGTTTGGTTAGTTTTTGGTTTGGTTCATTTTTTTTTTTTGTAATGGATTAATTTGTTCTTATTTATATGCCAAGGCTTAAAAGTATACTACTTTTAAGTATACTTAAAAGTATACATACTTGATCATGTCAGAATGAATTCTGTAGTGAAATCAAATGTCTGCTTCCTTTCTGCCGTACTCCTGAAAGGAAGCTGTAATCAGACTGTCCTTATGATTTTTGTTTTTCCTTTGCCATCTTCTACTTGGGACAAATTTTGATGACAACAGTGCAACATTTATCGTGCTCCTTACAGGAAGAGCTCTAAATAAGACTTAAAGTTTGCTCCGGGGGCTTGATTTGCTTCTGCACACACAACTGAGTACAGTAGAAAGGATGTTTCGGCATCGTCTCCATCCCAAAGGCACGCTGCACTGCTTGAACACTGTGGAGTGTGCACAGAGCTGGGTGGCCTTTGGGGCCTGTTAGCTCCAGCTGCTTTCTTCTAGGTACAGGCAGGCTTTGACAGTGGTTATATAGCTCCTGTACTACTAGTCCTGCTGGCTGTGGGATGGATCAGCATCTGTGGAATAACAGATGTGGAATATGGGGAGAAAGGCCTGTGCTTATTAGAAATTCATTTATGGTTTTATTTATATTTATAATATAAATTTTCAATATGAATTATCAAGAACCATACTCAGAATTATGGAGGGTATACTTGCAAACTTAGGAGATCTGTAGTGATATTTTGCTCTTTTACATTATTCATAACGTCCTATGTGGCTGCCTATGAAAGCTGGTTTGCTTCCTTTACAGGTATTCAAAGACAACTGCTGTAAGAGAGAAGTTCTCAATTTGCATGTGTTCTGCAAAAACTTTCCTGACTGCAATTCAAAAATAATTCTGGGACGATATCAGGTTAGTTTGCTTGATCAGATTTTGAAGCCTTTGATTTTCATGACAATTCTGTGTATCAGCTAAATCCCAGTCATTGTCTTCAGAGTTACTGCAGCAATTTGGTTTAAGTACAAAAATTATGACTTAGCTATACACCATAAGTAACAAATATTATGGCTGTTACCTTGTTCAGCTTGGCCTTTGGTTATTTTTTTTTAATAAGAACCATTTGCTTTATGTAGTTTTAGTATATCTAGTATTATTATGTAGTTTTAGTATATCCAGTGTCTGTACATATTCTGTATGCTTAGGTACCATATGTTGATTCAAGGAAACTTGCCAAGTCATACTGGCCATTTGGGCCTTTTTTTGGTGTATCGATTGAATGAAAAGTGAAAGTCATACAAAGGACTCTGCCAGCTGTTTCTGTGGGTCTGCTGGGTAAATTGAGATGCAATGAAATACTTTTGGGTTTAATTTGGTGTTGTGTGTTGCAGGAGCATCTTCAGCAGTGTTTGTTTGAAAGCACGCAATGCACTAATGATGGATGTTGTGATCAGATTCTTCGGAAAGATGTGAAAGAACACTTGAGCCAGCACTGTAAATTTCGAGAAGAAATGTGTCAGTACTGTAATACATATGTGGTGTTCATTAACATAAAGGTAAGGTTATGAAGCATTCCAGGGGAATCCCTAGTATGTGTTTCCTCTTGATGTTACTGAGTGAAAAGTCTCCAGCATTGCAATGGTACTTAACAACTCCTGAAACAAAATTTGGTTGAGTAGCTGAAGGAGAAAGTATAATAAATATGCTTTAAATAATACCAATTATTGATGCTCTCTTATGAACAACAAGGTGATATGTGGCTTGCACGTGTACTTTTGGGATTACTTTTTGCATAACTTCCTCTATATGTACTACTTCACAAAAAATTCAAACCATTGCATTGTTCTGTTTCTTTTTCCCCAGAATCATGAAAAAGATGACTGTCCTAATTATCCTGTGCCTTGTCTCCAAAATTGTTCACAAATAATTCTGAAAAAAGAGGTACTATTATTTTTTCATATACTGCGATTCAGCAGATCACACGCATTTATGAAAACTGAAAGCTGCATTGCAGACCACATTGGCCCATGCCAATAAAATTTCATTGCTCTAAGTATTTTCTTTGTTTGATTCTAAAAGGGATATATCTCCCATCTTTTAAGTGTGTTATTTGGTCACTGTAAGCCATTGATGTTTTGTAGTATGGAAGAATACCTATCTTGCTTATTGACTCTGAACACCCGTTTTCCTGTTTAAGTGGTTTGCAGTTGTCGTGACAGTGGCCTTTATTCACCCCTGATGCAGGCTTTCAGATTTTATAAGTGCATCAAATGACTTAATATTTATTTCATTCCAAACTCTGTGTTAATACATGCAGATTGAAAAGCACCAGGCTGTGTGCCCTGAAGCAGAAGTGGACTGCCCATATAAGCAGTACGGATGTCTTGCAAAGGTACTGTTTTACAGATCTTTGTCTTTAGTGGGACTGGACTTTGTCTCCCAAGCCAGTCAGAGTCATTAATCAAAATAACCATTTTAAGTCTTTTCACAGTCATTTCTAACATTGGCTAAGATCATAGAATCATAGAATAGATTGGGTTGGAAAAGACCTCCAAGATCATGAAGTCTAACCCCTGATCCAACTCCAGTTACTATATCATGGCACTAAGGGCCACGTCCAATCTCTTTTTAAAAACCTCCAGGGATAGTGAAGATGCTATGCTAGAGAATCAGGACTGCCATTCCCTCACTTTCAAAGCACAGAGGAGACATTTTGAATGTTTTCATCAACAAATTTTTTACTAACAGCTTCAAAAATCAGCTTATTATTTGATTCTTTCACTTCCTCCTCTGCCTCACTAAGGTTAAAAGAGGGAAACTTGCTGAACATGAAAACACTGCCCTGAGGGAACACATGCTGCAGATTTTAGACAAGAACTCCCGGTTGGAAGAACAGGTAAGTTGTGTTTAATGATCACTCTTCAGCGGCTCTTGACTGGTTGGAGGATGATATGATACTCTACATTTGTTGCCTAGTTTAGCTCAGCTACACTTTAGAAGACTGTTTTTATGGTCTTCGCACACCTCAGAAGTCAGAATAAGCTCTTCTAGTGAAGTCAGTCGGTTACATGGAAATCTCTCTGTGCTCAGGTGTGTATATTCTCCACCAGGCACAGTGGGAGGCTCGTTGCCATTGCTCACCTCATTTGCTTTTGGTCTCTATTTACAGCGGATATGAGGTTTGGAGATAAAGCATTTTAAATTTTCATTGGCTGGTCAGGTTGCTCCAGAAAGGAGCCTTTACATGCCCAAGTCACTCACTCTGTAGAGGCAGCACCAGAGCCAGTTGCAAGCACCTCTCTGCTCATGATCACTTCTGTGGCTTCCAGCAGGTGACACTGGGTGTACGCCCAGTCTTACTAAGGTGAATGCATCCAAACTGATGGTGGACTTCCTCTTTGCTTGTTCATGCAAAAAACAAGTGTCCCAAAGCGCTATAACTTGGGTTTGAAGTTTGTATCCCTCGCTGACTCATCGCTTTTACTGGTTAGGCCTCAGTCGAGGGGAAAAAAATGTATATACATACACACAGAAACACACATGCACACGTGTGCAAATAAGGATATATTATCCCACGATAGAGCTGAAGGGGATGGGGATCAGAGATATGAGCCTCTTTGCACCTGTAGCCACACAGATCTATTCAAGTCTGATTACCTTATGTTCAGTTCTTGCTAGTGCTTATCCACAAGCTGTGAATTAAGTAGTGCTCTGTCTAGCTCAATCAGAGGCTTTGCGTTGTAAACTTTTCCACTGCTGTGTATGTTTTAATTTCTTTATTGTATATTTTGGTGTTCATTAGCTTTTATACTCTGCTTTTCCCATCTGTAGATATCTGACCTATATAAGAGCCTGGAATGTAAAGAGATTAAAATCCAGCAGCTGGCAGAGGCCATTAAAAAGTGTGAGAAAGAATTCAAACAGTATACACAACTGTTTGGTAAAAATAGCAACTTGATGGTAAGCACACAGGTGAGACATTGATTTTTACCTTTTTTATCAATTGCTTTCTTACATTCTGACATATTTATCCAGTACTAGTTATCATTAATAGCAGGGCAATAACAAATTTCCACAAGCCCTTTTCGCTTTTTTACACTATGGTATTGTCTTTTCATTTTAATCAGTAAAGATGTTTGGTTACCTGATGTGGGCAAAAAGCACTTTACAAATCCTTGTGGCCAGATGCCCATGGCAAATACACTGGTATAAATTTGAATAATTTAGTTGAGTGAAGTGATGCAGCGTGAATGGATCCAAATGAGGGATGGCTTCTCAATCCATAAATGTGCTGAATTAATCATGAAGGAGCATTTGAGGTAAGTTCCTAAGCCAGCTGAGCACTTTCAATGCACCGTATAGATGATACTGCTGACATGCTAAAGACTTCATTATCTTAATTCAAAGAAAATGGCTGATTTTATGGATGTCTCTTGTACTTCTACTTCCCACCTTTTCTCAATGGCATGAACTGGGAAGGCTTTGGCCAGCCACCTGGATAAGTCTGCACGCCTGGAATCACAAGTGAAACAGCTAATACAGATGGCAAACCAGCAGCAGAGTAAATTAGACTTGCGGCCCCTGTTTGACACAATCGAAAATGTAAAACAGAAGATTGCCCTGATGGAGACATACGATCAACGCTTGGGTATGTCAGCACTTTGGGTTCTTTTCTGTGGAGGGGGCAGTTTGCTGATTTGCTGGTAGCTAAGTAGAGGCTCTGGTGCTACAGTCAGTTAGTTGCAGCTCTTCGCTAGAAAGGGCTTCCTTCCTCTTGCATTCTAAGACCAAACAGTGATGGTGTGAGCTGTGTTCTCCCACCTTCCCCTAATGCACAATGTCTCCCAAATTCCTGTGGCACTGCAGGGCCAGAGCACTGGCCTTGGTCTGGCTGGTGCACTGTGATGAAGGCCGTGGTGCTATCCATCTTCAGGCCTTCAATCTGGTTTGTAGTTACCAGTGTTTCTTACACAACTACCAGCTGCAATTACAATTTTAAAAGTTAACAGCTGTAGTCACAGTAGTTTATAGCCTGTACTCAGGCTTGGGTAGTTGGGTAGTTAAGTTTTGTCACCTTGAGTCTGGGTGCTCAGACAGTTTTATTTACGTTTCTCTCTCTCTCTCTTTTTTTTTTTTTTTTTTTGGTTTTGTTTTGTTTTCCTATTTCTTTTTTTGTTTCCCCTTCTCTCAGTTGTTTTGGAAGATCAGTCCAGCAAACATGATCTCCAGATCAATATTCACAAAGCACAGCTCAATAAAAATGAAGAACGATTTAAGCTTTTGGAAGGCACGTGCTACAATGGGAAATTAATCTGGAAAATCACAGACTACAAGATGAAAAAGAAAGAAGCGGTGGAAGGCCGTGTCCTCTCCATAGCCAGCCAGCCCTTTTACACCAGCCGCTGTGGGTACAGGTTGTGTGCGAGAGCCTACCTGAACGGGGATGGCTCAGGGAAGGGAACACACATCTCTCTCTACTTTGTAGTGATGAGGGGGGAATTTGACTCGCTGCTGCTGTGGCCCTTCAAGCAAAAAGTTACACTTATGCTTTTGGACCAAAGTGGGAAAAAAAATCACATTGTGGAAGTCTTTAGAGCCGACCCCAACAGCAGCAGTTTCAAAAGGCCAGATGGGGAAATGAATATTGCCTCCGGATGTCCCCGCTTCGTGCCGCACGCGGTCCTGGAGAACACAAAGAACACCTATATCAGAGATGACACTCTGTTTTTGAAAGTCGTCGTGGATTTAACTGATCTGGAGGAATTGTGAAAATTGTTCCCAATCAATGTGACTGCTTTAACCATTAAGAACTGCTTTCTTGGTGACTACCAGCCATGCAATAGTGAATTGCCACCAGTCAAGCTACTGAGAATGTTTCACAGCTTTTGGACTCATAAGAGACAATGAATTGCCAAAGTGTCAGCCTTTCCTTTTTTAACCCTTTTTTCAAGACTGCATTTTTAAGGCAGCTAGAAGTCCAGTTTGGTGCAAACATGCATTCAATCCAGATTGGCTCAGTCCAGGCTGGGGGGAATGCTTTTCTCCCATCACCAAACTGGTGTTTGGAGACGAAACTCCTCCAGTAACCTCCCTGGAGCCCAGGCAGGCCTGTGGGCTCCCATCCCTCACACAGCAGTGAAGCCATGCCCAAACATGCAAATGCATTTCACCTGTCTGCAATAGAAACATTTCAACATTAGCAAATTTGAATCAATGTCTTGATCCCTCCATCTCCTGGATTTTTGAAGAGTGGAGAATGGCTTCAGTTAGGCAGGGAAAACATTTGCCAAGTATCTTGCATTTTTGTAATTTGTTTTAATTATGTTTTTCCAGAAAGCCCAGAGGAAGGCACCAATGCCTCTTACTTTTTTAGCCTGGTTTTTCAGCTATGTAGAGTACGCCCAGGTCACAACAGCTTTCTTATGTCCTTTCCTTTCCTGCCTAGTGCCTTGGGACTGATTTCCATTAGTGGTAAACATCGACAGTCCCCATCTAAAGCCAAAAGCTGCAGGCACTTCTCACCTCTCAGGACATGGCCAGAGGCAGGGCACTCGGCCAGCCTGCCAGCTCTTGGCTGTGCTGTTGGAAGAGGGGCAAAACTGCTCTTTTTCTTCCACATCTGTGCAAAATTGATGTTTTCTGGCCTACAAGCTTTATAAAAGGCAGGAAAAGCTTTGGATATCTGCCTGGGAGAAAGCCCACGTAACATGCACTGTTCCTCTCTCCTAGAAATTTGGATGTTAGGGGAAGAAGGGGGAAAAGGGATTAGGGAGTGAGGTTGCAGTAGGAACCCAATTCTCACAGATAGTGCAGCTCTAGCGTTTGTTAAAGGGTGACACAGCCACAGTAACAACTGCTGACTGTGTTGTCTGAAGATCTTAATTCTCATTCCAAGTTCCTTCCATACTGCAAGGGAATGTGTGCATTGTATGGGGTTCATTGGAGACCCACTGAAACTATCAAGATCAGGCACTGAGGAACAAGTGACACAGAATACACGTGCCTTTTTAAAGCCTTTTGGGTGCCTGTAACAGGGATGTAATTTTGCATTCTCAGCCATTTTGTTATTACAAGTGACAGAGTTTTGCATCTCTCATCTCTCACAGATCAGGTAGTGAAACACCACAGCATTATCCATTGCTCCAAAGCTTATCAAGAGACAGAAAGACAATAAGCTGGATTTAGAGTAAGAGTAAACTAGGCAGGATAAAAATCAAAACGGGGCATGGACTGAAAGGTATAAGGCAGAAAATTCAAGAGGGCAAATGTGGCAAAATGAAAAATGCCCTCTCTGTGTGGGATGTTGATATCAACTAAAATAATTCAAGGTTTGGTACTAAGATGAAGGCAAAATACTGTATTTTGTATCTGCAATCTTATTGCTAGACATTTACTTTCCCACGTGGTTTTCAGGACGTAACTCAGACACATATATTTTCAAATTGGGGGGTGGAAGGGAAGAGACCTTAGTAATCTATACCTCATGGTGGGTTAGCACATCTGAAATCTTTGTTTTCATCTGGAAGTCCTTTTTGTTTTACAATGTCAGGATGTACTGAGCCACCATAGGGGCTTTCCGTGTTCCCAGAAACAGATGGCAAGGAACAAATTTTATTCTTTTGTACCACCATGATTGACTTCAAGAGTAATTTCAGCTGTACAGCATGTCCCTAGCATTGTTACAAAAACAGAAAGCTTGGTTTGACAGTGGTGTGGCATTCTGTGTCATCAACCCTGAGCCTCAGATGTGGATTTCATGTTGATTATTACTTCAGTCTTTGTCAGGTAACTTTCAAAGTGACACAATTTGCATAATAACCACTAATAACTGATGGAAATGTACCAACCATGTGTCCTGGGACTCCTCAGTACTTTGAGTATAAAATACAGAAAATGATAAAGAACTTGGACAAGCAAGGGAGGCAAGATGGAAAGGATGTGGTCTGTATCCTGGGAAATACCGAGCCCTCTCCGCCTCCACTACCCCAAGCGTAAAATGGGGATAATAATACTTGCAGAAGTGTTAGAGCTATTTAAATGTTTGTGAAGAAGTTTGAGCATGAAGAGAGCTAAGTATTATTAAAACTCCATTTCTAATTGTTAGAGTAGGTGATGGCATAGTGACGTGGATAAGTGTTTAGTGTTTTCCTGGACAGATTTTGAAATCATGTTTGGTTTTAGCCAGTTTGTACTGCAATCTCTCCTCTACCTACTGGTTGGGTTTAGGTTTTTGCCACGAATATTCCTCTTAAAATTTTGAAGCACAAATGATTCGTCCTGGGTGTTGGAAACATCCCTTTAGACATACTGCCTGTTTTTTAAAGAATTAGTTGAGAAAATTGGATTTTTTTAAAGGCAAGACCTTCTTTAAATTGTTTTTTTCTTTTTATTACAGTAATTGAGAGATTTATGTTAAAATTTTCAGTGATTTTTTTACTATTTATAAACAGGATTTTAAACTTCACCCCATTCCTAATAAGGAAAAAAATATGTTGTATAGCATGAATTGTCAGGAAGAATTTTGATGTTGCATGAAAAAAATACCAAAAACCTTTTCAATAATATTGTACTGGATAAGTAACCAAAAGAGCTTAGGGTATTTCTACATCAGCATACAGTATGTTTCTAACGTATTTATTGACAGTTTGTAGTTGTTTGAATATCTCTTACTACAATGCAGGCATTTTTCTAGCCAAATGTCTTCACTGTGTACATAAACTAATGTAAGAATAAATAATTTTACCATCCTTCTGGAGTGAGTGTGGCCTAATACTCATTTTGGCTGGATTTAAGGAGATTTTTACAAGGATGTGGAGTACTGGATATTTGTTTATAATGATGATGATGATGATAATAACCAACAAGCAAAACCACTTCTTTAGATTAAGAATCAATGTATTTCATAGATATTTTTGTTTACGCTTGAATATCGTAAAGCAGCTGCACATAGAAGTTCAGTAAATTCTAAGCTAGACCAGACGAATATCCACAAGGTCTGAGGATCCACCGGAATCAGAACGGGATGTTACTTCTGTTTGGAACCGCTTTGGGCTCGGCAGGGGTTGGATTTGTTTCATTTCAGACCAGAATCAGGAACTGTTCCAGTATCCCGTGTTTACTTTGTGTTTGAGGACATGGTATTTTAAAACGGGGGACGCAAAACTAGGCAGGGTGAAGCCCAGAGCGTTGGAAATGGGCTCGGTAACTGTGTCAGCTCCCGACCCCGTTGCCGTGTGAGGGGCAGGAAGCGGCGGCGGCGGCTCCAGCCCTTCCGGGTCGGCGGGCGGGCCCGGGCCGAGCGCGGAGAGGGGAGGCAGAGCGGGAGCGGCGCCGTCCCCATCCCGGGTGGGTCGGGCAGGGGGGATCGGGGCCCATGGGGGACAGGCGGGCCGGGCGCGGGGCCCTCTGGCAGCCGCGGGCGGTGCGCGGCCCCGGGGCTCCCTGCGCGGCCGGGTCCCGTGATCCAGCGACAGCCTGACACGGAGGGGATGTGGGGAAGAACCCCCTTTGCGTCCGCACTGGCGATGGCACCGAAACAAGGGGGTTGGCCTCCGTTTCCCGATGCGAGAGGACGCGGCCGAAGGCGCGGCCCCCCGCAGTGTGGTGCAGTGTGAGGGCAGGTGACGCGGTCCTGTGCCGTGTGCTCTGGGATGACCCTGCTTGGGCCGGGAGGTTGGACCGGGAGACCCACTGTGGTCCCTTCCAACCAGACCCATTCCGTGATTCTACGGGGCTGCCCTCCGGCGTGTTCGCAGGTTTCCTCGGCTTCCGCCCTGCCTTTCTCCCCCCCCCCCCCCCCCTTTCCAAAATCTTTTGGAAATTATGTTATTGAATACACTTTTGCCTCTTGACTAGATATGGATAACAGCAAGGATGAAAAAAGTAGGACACTGTGTGAAACTTCAGAAGAAGGGCTGAAGGTCCGAGGTAGGCACTGCTGATCTGTTGCCCTGCTCTGGTGTTACAGTTGTGATGCTCTGTGTCAGTCACCGGGTTGGACCCCGATACTGGGCATGGTCACTTGCTAATGGTAATTAGCAACCGTGTAATTAGTAACCGTGGGACATGGGTGCTCACTGTGTTTAAGTTCTGTGAAGGGTCGTTTTTGTAGACCATAGTTACTAGCGTGCTTGTCACTGTTACCTTGTGTTGTCCTAAGGAAAAGAAAAAAGGAAACGGAAACGCAGTAGAAGCAGATCATCATCTGTTTCATCCACATCGTCTTCTAGCAGCACATCCACTTCTTCCTCTTCATCACGCTCTTCATCAAGATCATCTTCTTCGAGTAGTAGAGGTAAGCTACCTCTACATGTGCACATGATGTTTACCAGTTTTGACAGTACTCCTGGAAACATTTAGAGCTTGTTTTAAATGTGGCTAAACCACCAAAAAGTGATGGTGCAGAATACCAATGTTGTGTGTTCAGTGTTTTTCTCATAACCTTCTTCTATTGCTGTGTTAAGGTGCCTCTTTGCACACAGTTTGTTCTTTTGTTAGTTTAAATAACTTAAAAATAAAAAACTGCCATTAAAAAAAATGTTATTTTGTAATGATATGTTGTGTATTTTTAAACTCCTTTAATCATTACACTTTCAAAACACAGATCTTTTTCTGCTTCACCAGTCTATTTAGACCTGAGTTGGGGTTTTTTATTCAGTCCTGCTTTGGTCTTAACATTTCAAGCATTTGCCTTTGAGGAATCACATAAAGTTGGCATGTCTGCAGAATCAGTAAATCAGGTATTTTCAATTTCCATGTTAGACCAGTAAGAGGCGGTCAGTTAATGTATTACTTTCTTCTGAGTTAGTTTCAACCAGTGTCAATGTATGTAGCTAAATTAAGGCATTTTCTTTTTAGGTTTCACATTTCTGTATGCCTTATCTGTAAAACCAAATGCCTTTTTCAAGAATTCTAAACTTAGAGGATTTGATTTTGTTGTTTGTTTTTCCTTAACTTTAGATTTTCCTAAGTCTAAATCAAAGAAAAAGAAAAAAGAAAAACACAACAAAAAGGTAAACATTTTACAAAGAGAAATAAGGAGTTAACAAACAATAACCTTAAAGGTCATGTGAGACATAATGCTGTTGTCTGTGGCTCTATAAATCTGAATCATACTTTTAGGGTTATGGTAGCTGAACTGATAGGTTGGCATTTAATTGACTGTATACAAAAAAAGAAATAATTTAAAAGTTACTTTTGCCAGTCATTGCTGGTCCAGCTAGCATTCAGAGTAGTCTCTGAAGAAAAGAATAGTGGGGAATCTTGATAACTTTATAGAATTTGTCAGAAGAACTGATTTTTAGTCAGTGAGAGAAGCAGGTAGTAGATTCTTGTAGTAATTTTTCTATTTTATCAGGACCTTCAGTGATTTTGTATATTGGGGTTAAACGAGGACAGCATTAAATGGGAGAGAACAGGGAATCAGACCATTTCTGTTTCTTGGGGTCCCAAGGGTTGCTAACCCTGCTGTGTTACTTTCTGTATTTCAGCTACTACCTGTCTGGCAGTGGTAAGGGCAAAAAGAAGGGATGTCTTGACTAGTCAGGGCCTTGGGAGATACTTGTGGATTTGGTTTATTTTACCCTTTTGAGTCCATAAGCCTAAGAATATGTCTTATTCTTGTAGAAAAGGAAAAAAGAGAACAAAATGAAGAAAAAGAAAGAAAAGAAGAAAAAGAGAGAGAAGACAGGACCTGTCCAGCTTTCCAAGGTATGCTTGTGTGAATCTGAAGCCCCATTACATTTTTCATCTAAATACTTAATCTGTCCTGTAATAAAAATGTGTATAACATCACCAGTTTTGTCATAAACAATTAGAAATCCAAATACAATAATATTGTTTTGAACAGTTAGGAAATATAAAAGATTATCATCTGTAATTTTACTTGTGATTTGTAACATTACAAAATAAAGCAAAGCTTTTTTAATGTGTGATCTCATTTTAGTTCTTCAAAAACAAAAAGAAGAATGAAAACTACAGCATGATAACCGGAAAGAAAATTAAGATGAAAATTAAGAAGACTAAGGAAGATATAGAGGTAAGAGTTAAAATAATCTATATATTTATATATTCCTAAGAGAAGATACTGTATCTTTTAATATTTTTGCAATAGTACTGTCTTTTGTAGAAGAGTCAGTCTTGCACTTAGGGGTTGTAAATTGAGTGTAGTTTTTAGTGTGGCTATGATGCCATCTGAGACATTTTAATGCATTCTTTTGGCAGGTTTTGTGTTACGAGTGGGCTTGGAATACTCAGGCATGAGTAGATAAACTAAAGGGTGCTGGTGCATGTTCTTAGAATTTCAGTCTCTAATGGTTAGCTGATTCATAGCTTTCTCTGTTGATATAATTTACTGTTTTTAATTGTACTCATCTTCTTTCAGTCTCTTGTGATCAGTTGTGGTAATTGCTGCTTTACTGTGTTTTCCTAACACATCCAAAACTAACCATTATTTAGAGAGGGATTTAAAAAAAAGACAACAGTAGTATTAGGACCACGTGGCCATGCGTTCTCTCAAAGCAGTCAAATGTTTTTGTTGAGATACCCAGGGAAATTGATATAATGAGTAGTGTTTTGTGCTATTGCTATGAGTGTTTGGACTCAGCACTTATTTGATAAGTTCACCCTTTTCAATAATTTCCACACCTTAGAGTGGCCTGCAGAGGGCTCTGGTAGCAGTCAGTACGTGTTAGAAGTGCTACTTGGTTGAGGTATATCCAGCTTGGCAGATTCTGGTTCAGCCATAACAATTCATTCTGTAGCTACTGAAGCAGATATGAGCATTCCAAGTTAAATTTGATCGAAAATGCATTATCTTCTTTCTGGGGCACTGCAGTTTGTGTTAAATTATGCTTGTCAGTTCTGTCCTAGTAACCTGCTCATTACAATATTTAACATCAAATATTTGATGTTGGTCCTTTTTTGATTGGTTCCTGTGGTCTTGCTGAATTGAACAGCATTTATTTAAAGATGCAATTTTTTTATTAAAAACACTGAAACAAGTGTTTTGACTGCTTGAGCCATCTCTTACGTGGAGAAAGAACCTAAATTCAATGTTTTGTTATGCTGCAAGCTGCTGGTTTTGCAGAGAAAAAACAATTATACTTCCCAAAGCACAAGACTTGCTGTGTGTACAGTTAAAGTCGCCTCAGACACCAGAGAATAGCATCTGTTCAGCTTGTGAGTTCCCTCCTGAGCAGACTGTGAGCTACATGATTACAGCCCAATGGAGCCTCTGCAGGGAGCCACTTAGAAAATGTATCATGCAATGGTGACAGTGACAGCTTGTCTCCAAGGGCATCTGTCCCCAGGACCCATTGGCTGGTGCTTCCCCCCGGGCACTCACACCCAACTGATAGCTAGTTAGATCCAGCTGTGTGAATGTGGATGTGAAAGCCCTACAGAAAACAGGGATCTGCAGCCTTGCTCCACTGAGTCTGTTCAACTGTTCAGCTGCTGCCTCTGCTTCTCTGCTCTACAGAGAGACCGGAACCGTGCGCAGCTCCTGGAATTTCTGAACTCTGCCTTGTAACGGGAAGAGTGCTGGCCAAGGACTTGTAGATATACCAAGTCAATGATCATCATGCCTAGCAAAACACTAAAGGGAAACTCAGGGAAAAGGATGCCAAGTTCAACAAGACCAGACCCTCCTGCTGAGAAGACAATCGGGATGTCCTTTTTTAATGGCAAAATGAAGAGTAGCTAATAACTTGCTAATGAAGATCCATGTCCTCCTTTTGAGATCCTAAGGTAATA